GTGTTGCTAATATATTCCCAATATTAAAAGGAAACTTGGGTGGAATAACTCAAAAAAAAACATTTTAGTTAGTTGTCTAATTATTATTATATTTTTGCTAGTGAACCAATTAGCCCATATTAAAAAGTTTCGACCTCAAAAAAAAAAAAAAAAGTTTCGACTTCCAAACAAATTCCTTCCACCAACACATTGGTATATCTTCAAAAGTATCATAATCCGAAAAATAATACTCCATCCGTTTCAATTCAGAATCCTATCAAAAGAAGTAGCAGAAGCGCCGATTCGCTTACATTTTCGCGTTCTGATTCCTACTCGACTTGACCTGTTTTTCAACTTCTTGTATTCTTCTTCATTCCTTTGTAAATATCATATTCTAAAGTAACATAACTTGATGATTTGTTAACTCTCTCTATGTGATTCTTTTTGTCTTTTGGATTGTTATATCTTAGAAACGTAAGAAGCTAGCAAGGACGACAATAAGTGAAGAGGCTTGTGTAAATTGTGTTAAAATTGGGGTTCTGTTTTTTATTATATTAACCTGATATACACTTTTTTTGGCTAACCAAAAAAACAACAGCAAAAATCGAGTGTCATCACAATGGGGGCCTGTACATATCTTCTTCTTCTCTATGAGATTTGACTTTTGTAACTTGTAAGAGGGAAAAAATAAAATTTAAAAAGAAACAAAGCTTTACATACAAAGGTTGTACATGTGATTTTTTTCTTCTTTCTCACTGGTGAATCGAGTAGCTTTTCTTCCAGAAGAAGCTGAACGGCCTTGTCAAGGACTTTCTTCTCGACATTGATTTCGACAAGCCTCTTGGTTCATATTCTGGAGCAGAAGCTGAAGCGGAAGCTGATCTATGGACAGGCATTGGCGCTGAGACAGATTTCCGAGGAACTTCCTTTTGTGGGGGTTCATCTCTGTTTGGAGATGGCTGGTCCCGTTGTTGCCGCTGTTCTCTAAACAGCATTAGAAGTTTCTGAGACTTCTCTCTGCCTCGTGGAGTCCCGTTAACCGAGATTGACACTAATGATGGTATCACACCTTCTTGTAGCACCATCTGGATACAAGACTCCCTTCCATTGCACAGAATCAAAAGGCATGAAACAGCTTGCTCTTGTTCTAGTGTATCACCCATGTCTAGCACTGTTGCTAGACTGCTGATCATGCCCTGTGATGATACTGCCTCATCTTTGCCCTGCTGGCTCGAAGCTAGATTTAGCAATACGGCTAATGACTTCTCTATCCACAAATGTTCACCTGTTGATGCGAGAAGGACTTGGAGGCTTTTGATGATGTTAGATGAAAGGAGAGCAGAGATATTGGGGGAGTATGTGGAAAGGTTGTAGAGAGCGTGAAGGGCATCGAGCTTGCATTGGGTTTCGGTTTCCTTCAGAAGAAGATGGACAAGAAAAGGCACTGCTTGGCTTGAACCTATAACGGGCTTGGCTTCTTCGAGACAGGACATATTAAGATAAAGCGCGGTTGCTGAACCTTGGGACTCAGAAGAAGTGATCATTTGCTCCAGCAAGGGAATCACCCCGGAAGTTAACATTAACTCTTTGTTCCTACAGACCATGGAAAAGAAGAACACAGTAAGTAATAAGAAAGTCACATTCGGTTATTGTTATTACCAATATCAATAAGAGGCACTAACCTGTTATTGTTGACGGCTAGATTGAAAAGAGCCATAGCTCCAGTGTCTTGTGCAGCCACATTATTTTTATCCACAGCTGATCCTAAGAACCGCAATAAGGCTTCAACAAACCCATTGGCTCCCATGAAGATCCTTGCCTCTTCGTCATCCTTAAGCAATAGCCTGATCTTTTCTACAACCTTGCCTTTTTTATCCAAGTCCTCCTCTTCGTTTAAGATAGCCAATAAATCTTGATACCTCTCAAGTACATTTGTATCAGAATCCTCCTTCTCATCATCATCATCAGACCCAAAACTTTCGTCTGTGTTTTGCCTTTCGACACCGGTAGTACCATTCACCTCCAAAGGAACAATTTTTATCCCCTTCAATTTACACGACCCTATACTGTTAACCGACTTTGATTTGGTGGACTCTGAGTCAGAGAGTGCTAGTCTCCAGTAATCAAGGTCAAGAGATTCCGGCGGTCCGCTAGGGATTTGAGTTCCATTCTGTTCACACCAGCTCGCAATAAGACCTTTAACACAGTTATTGGGAGTCAGGGAGAGATGTGGGAGCTGCTGTTGAGTCTTTGGACAAGTATTATGCCCATCATTGAACCATTTCTCAATACAGACCCGTTCATAAGTCTGCCCTGAAGCAATAATGACAGGATCACACATAAGTTGCAAAGATATGGGGCATCTCAGTTCCTCGGGTGGAACAGGCATCTGTCCCGATTTCCTGCTGTTCGTAGGCTGATAGTTCAAAGAACCAAACCTAGACAGCTGACGACCAAACCCGTGACCACTCCCACGATCTTCATTAAAACCCTGACCAGTGGGAGAACATGGAGTTGAACCCTGAGAGTCATTTTCATCCAAAATCTCACTTCTGAATAGCTTGGAGCATTTTCTCATAAGATGCAAAAGATAAGCCACAATTGATTCCTTACGCTTGTCTTCTTCTGCGCGTGCCCTATCAATGAGTTTCTTTAGAGCCCGTCGTTCCGCCAGAGCCACTCTAGAAGAAGTGATATTGAGTCTTGTAGCTGCCTGGTGGAAAATTTCAAGCTCGGTGTTGTCATTACAGTTGTCAAATTTTTTCCCTTGTTGAAGCAGGGCAATGATCTGATCACCGACTTCCTTCTCTGATGGATCAAGTTCAAACCTGGTTTTCTCTAGTTCACTAACAATTTCCAAAATCTGAAGAGTCAAATATAAAAAAAAAAAAATCAGACTTCTCAGCTAGGAATTTTTCATAGAAACACATCAGATCTCAAAATTTAGCAAGCCACAAAACAAAAACCAACGAGGCTTATTTTCAGGATATCATCAAATCCTGAAGAACATAATTACCTGTGGACTTGTCTTAATCATCACAACGAAAAAATGTGCAGTGAACTAAATAAAAATTACCTGTGACCCAATTGAGCTAGGAACAATGTCTTCTACACGTTTAAGACCGTCGATGAGAGCAATTTTTGCTTTCTCAAATTTTAAAAGAACAGCATCTCCTGTAATGGCCTGTTTAGATTGGAAACAAAAATGAAAAGAATTAAGAATCTAAAACACAAAAGAGAAAGTATGATGCTCGTCCAAAGAGAGATAAGGAGAGGAATAAAGAGAGAAACTTACCAAGTAAAGTTTACTACACTCAGAACAGTGCTGAAGAATATTCTTTGCCTTCTCAAGTGCAATATGTAAAGAGCATAAGGCCTGAATCCCTGATTTACTCCGAGGTCTTGCTCCTTCTAACGAAGGGAAAATTGAGAGTACCTTACATAGAACTCCTGATAGTTCCTTGCACATATCTCCATGTAACTGCGTTTACCATAACATAGCTTTAACAAAAAGCATAGAGGACACACACAATCATATGATCAAACAAGAACATAAATTCCTCTTAACATATTTTTTTTTTTGCTAAGATACACAATTACTATTCTAATAGAAGGAACCAGAGAAATGCAAATGTATCCCTAAACATCGAAAAATAAAAGCGACGAAATGTGATTATTCAAATCAGATTCCAACAATTACGAAAAAAATTTGAAATTAAAAACATTTTCAATTGTAAACCGAACCTTGGCATCGCTGGCCGCGAATAGATTCTCCTCGAGCTCTGTCACATCCATGATCCAACCTCACCTGACAACTCTTGAGCTACAAAAAAACGGAGAAAAAAAGAATCAGTACGGAGAAAC